TTATCAAACACGAAAATCGAGATGCGAGACATCTATTTGCGCATGCACATACTGTAGATGCCCCCCTTCCCGGGATACGATGACAACGACAGGGCCGGGGCACACATCCGTCACCTGCCTCGCAAACGCTGATTATCTGATTATTTTTTTCGCGGCTTGCTATCGGCAGTAGTTAAATTTTATTTTCTTTCTTACGTGCGCGCGCACTACTGCGGACTATATAATGGTAGCATGTGCTCCTTCATTCCACTGTCCGATATGGTATACATACATATATCATTTAACGCCTCGAGGCCAGGACAAGCCTACCGACTACAGGTTCGGGCACATACTTCTGCCAAGTGATGCGTGATAGATTATCCCGCCGTGTTTGGACGGAAACAATTATTTCGATGTTTTCTTGTGAAGCGCGCAGTTGGGCCGACGAAACCCCGACGCGTACGTTGTATATGTACTCCGGATTTACCGCATGATTATCCACCTCCTTCTCACACAACCTGCACCACCTACTCATACCACAAAAAAAAAAAACTTCTAGAGGACCAGCACGGTTGCCCGAGGGAAGCTGCGACACATATCAAAAAGCAGAAACGATGAAGAAATTGTTGCCAAAAATAATACTCCAGTGGTAGAATGATTATTTCGCTCGAGGCGCAAAAAGAAGGGTCGGAAAAGAGAAGCAGGTGTAGTCTAGATATATAGATGGACGGGGCCTACGCCATCACACAGAGGTCACCACCTCCACTGCACACGCTCACACCTCACCCGACACCACCAGTCAGTCGTATGTCTACTGTCTAGCAGTCAAGGGATGAATAAGAGCGCTGTTTGGTGTGGACAAGCTCTCATCAGATCAGCTATAATAGCTAGTCTACAGCAGCAGCTGCTGCTGCTGCACAAGGGTGTGCACTTGCTTTCCTCGCTCCCGCCGCCTCCTGCGATGCGTATGTTTGGCCGGCCGTTGACCTGCAGCGTTGTGTACGTATCACTCGTCTCTGTTTCGGGGGTGCATCTGTTGTGGAAGCATCATCGGCCGCAGACGAAGACAGATCGCAGATACATTTGACTTGTGTACACGCGCATTTCCCTCGCTTAAGCTGCTAGCAGCAGGCGTCGGGCTCTAAAAATCGCTTCCGACGCCAGCCATGGTGTGTGCCTTTGGCCGTCCTTGACCTACAGCAGTGTGTACGTCGCATTGTCTCCATTGTGGAGGTGCGTCTGTGTGGAAAGCTCCAAAGATCGGTAGGCAGATGAAGACAGACCGCAGAATGACTTGCGTCGTCCCTCGCTTGTGCTGCCAACAGCAGGGAACGGGCTCTAAGAGTCACACCCAAAGCCTCCTATTGTGTGTGCCTTTGGTTGCCCTTGGCCTACAACAGTCTCGTGTGCTGCTGTGCTGATTGTCGCTTATGTTGTCTGCTTGCGCGTGCTGCTGCTGTGCTGCGTTCGACTTTCAAGAATATCTTCGGGATTCTCCCCGAGCGTCGTGCCCATCGTCCAATCATCTACCTCTATCTTACAAGATGTCGCACAAAGTCGACATGTGATTGGTGGGAGACGGGTATACGGCCCGGTTCTACCCCTCCCTCAAAAACATGAATGAATTGCTAACGTTTTTCCGTGTCACGTACACAAAAATTGCCCTGCGGATGGGTCCGCTGCCAAGAAAACAGCGGTGCAACAATCAACGTACCTGGTCAAGATAGTTTTGATTGACGAACGCATGTTTTCGAGAGGCTAGGAACCTCACGAAACGTGATGAAGCCCGCCCACGTCGCCCACCTCACAATTGATCCATGTACTATTCGTTTGGTCCTCTGTCAGCCCTGCAAGGTCAGCGCTGCACTCTGAGATCGAACACTCGTCCATTTCAGACCCTGAATAGTGCCGGCTTGGCACGACCCAGACACTATTCTGAAAAGTGTCGGTGGCCGGTATAGTGCCGATCAAATGTCTAGGCACATACCGGCACTATATCGGGACACCTGCTGCTTGCTGTATGCACGTGAGTAAACAAGTGGCCGAACTAATTACACATGAACAGGAGGGGGCTCACCAACCAGGTTGTCCCAAACAGGTGTTATGGCGCTGCGGACACCCCATGTGCAAATACTGCTCATTCGATGGGAGACGTGGTCGTCTCGAATCCGTTCGCACTGCTGTCATACCTCGGCCGGCTCATGAGCGCACCCAGGCGAACGTTGCAAGCAGGGGGTTCCGCAGACGAAAACATTTCCAGCAGCCTGTCGTGCGACTGCTTGCCACCACGACGTGGTTCTGTGTGTCGCCAGCGATTGCAGATGTTATTGGTAATGGTCCCCTGCTTCGACCATCAGGTTTCGATCCTTCAATGTCCGGTGTTGGAAACATGTATTTGCCTGGCCTGTTGAGGCTACACGTCCTCGTCGTGCTCTGCGTGCGCAGCCGACACCTGTCACCTTGCCCATGTCCCAGGGCATCTCATGATCTGTCTGTACTCGGTATTGGTCTAGCTTCTTCTTGGCACAAGGCAACAATAGGATATAATGTCGTGTTGCATAAACGGACATACTAAGTAGTGATTGCGGTATCAAGATCATGGCAACAACCGCGCTGGCCAAGCAAAGAGGCACGCACTCGATCATGTCCTTTTCCAAAAATCCAAAAAGTGAGCCAGACCGCAGAGCGACAGTGGCAGATCCTACGATCCTACGTGCCGTTCTTACCCGCATCCCTTGAGGACCTCACCTCGTGCTTGAGTACGTATCGACGGCCGTAGCAGCTACTGTTTTCACTGGCCAGTGTTGCGGCGTGCGTTCGCCAGAGCACGTGTCGTAAGTGCAACATGCTCCTTTCCTAGACGCTACTCGCTGCTCATCTCTGTTGCTGTTTCAGCACTCAAACTCAATACACGACGGGGAGCAGAGACAAGAGACAAAGGTAGAGCATAGAGAGGTGAGCCCCGGCGACGACGATCAGGTGATATTTTTTTGGTAAGATCACAGATGCGATCGCGCGAATTTGACCTCGATTTTTTTTCAGGAAGACGCTGTAGACTAAGCACGCGGTATGGATCTTGCTGGGTAGACTGCAGAAGTACACTTGTACGGCGGCACGAGCTGATCGAGCAATCAACATGGATACTGACAGAAACTTGCGTCCTGCCTCAGGCGAACCCCTAGTTCTCTGGCAGCATGACAGGTTGCGAAGACATGGTGACGATGGGTATTGTAGATCGTGTACAACCGCTTGGGAGTAAAAGATACCACGGGGAAAAGCCGCATGTACTACTGACGCCGTGGGTAATATCATACGAGTATAACTCCCACTACTGTAGCATCGACTGCACGCATTTGCCGGCGTGCCGGAGATGTTATTTTGTAGAAAATACTCCGTTTTAGAGGTATATTAACCCAAATTGTAAAACTGGAGGGAGGGGGGGAGGAGTCACACGCATAAGGCAACAACAAATTTGGTGGTAAAACTTCAGAACGAGTCCAAGAAACAACGCCAACACCACAGACTCACGTGATTTTTTCTATGCGTGTACCAGTCGTTGCTTACCGAGAAGTTCAGAAGGTGGTGGCTTCATTCCGATCAACCATGCATGCATGCATCCATCAACGTCGACTTGCGCGCAGCTCTGATAGACAAGACTGGTGAGCTCGTGTCCGACAAGGCAACATCATCAGGACAGTGGGCCAAATGGCTCGGAGCCCCTCTGGAGCATGCACTTGTGGACGGTGGCAAGGAACTTGCCTTGGGTCTCCTGAACGCCGGGGTAGACGGAGGAGCAGACTGAGAGGGCTGTGACAGGCGCACAAAGATCCAGGCGGCTGCCGAATGCGGCAGCAAGGAGAGGTGGTGTTGAATATTCCGGAGGACAGTGGTTTGAAGGAGCATTATTTTACGCTAGCTCAGGGGAGAGGACGCGATGGCCGCCCTCCAACGGGCCCGCCCATGCCGGTGCGACGCGTGTGCTGATGCTCGCCGCCACCGACACGAGTCTCCTCGACGCCAAGTGCCGCAGCGCTCTGCACTACACGGTGGAGGGGGGACACCTGCAAGGTCCAGTGCTGCCCGTGGGCGTCGGGGTGGGCAGTGGGAGCGCGGGCAGTGGACTGGGCAAGATGCTGGCGCAGGGCGGTGGAGCTGGAAGACGATGCAGTCTTCCGAACGATCGTGAGGTTCCTGTGAAATATGAGGAAGGCGCTCTTCTGCTCGGTGAATAAGAATACGTACGTATCGTTTTGCGGTGTTGTGGTGTTACCTTCTGCGTCATCTATGCCCGGTGCTTAGCTACGGTTGGTTGTGTTTGTGCGAAGAGGCGAAACCGGTGTGTGAAGTTTAGTCCCCAGTCGATCGTCCTGACGTGTCACCAGCTTGTCGAATGCTATGTGTGCATGTATCCACGAGTTGCCCACAGATGTTGCGGACTGTGAAGAAGAGATTTGAGTGGGGGGGGGGGGGGGGG